GGACGGTTTTAGTGGAGACTGCTACACGAAGCATTTCTGGAACCTCCTTTCCTTCACTACTCGCTGATAATTCTGTCCATCATTATAATAAACATAAACACTTTTTAATTTTCCACAATCATTTAAGTTTAACTCTGTTAATTTCTGATAGGTACCAACACTGAAACTGCTACCTCTAATCTCTAGATAGTTAAGGTTAGTGAACTCACTAAGGTTTAATTCTCCTTCTAATTGAACCTTGTAGAAACAATAAGTTTGACCACTTACATTGTCAATGCCTTGATCATTTTTAATATATAATTTCTGGACTTTTTCTTTATCCTCTTGGCTAGGAAAGTTCTCGTTTATTCATTGTTGTGCATTTACCATAGTTTTTTAATTTTTTACTAACAGTCTCAAACCATTCCGTTTACTAACTTTTAAACAGAATTAGCCAACTGTTCGTTATTTTAATCTTTTCTAGTTCAGCCATTAACTATTTTGGATTAGATAACCATTCATCAGTTAGGCAAATTAAGAAGCGGTGAACTTCTTTTATTGTCGTTGTTTATTTTCTCTAACTTCATCATCTTATATAGAAACTTTTTGATAAGTATTCTATAATTTAATTTTATTATAAAAAGTTAGACCAGTCATCACCTCATTTTTTAGAAAAAATATTAAATATGCCAACCCTTAATTTAAAAAATATCACTATCAAAGAAAAACAAGACAAAAAACCTCAATCCTTATTATCTAATTGTTGATAATGACAATAACCAAGCCTACTTTTGCTTCTCAGGAGCCGTGAAAGATGGATGGAATGATTTAGTTAGTAGTTGAGAACAGATAAAAGAAGTAGAATTAGAATATGAAACTAATGAACGAGGGAATAATAAAGTAGTTAGTTTATATGCTATTAAAGAAGGAGATATTATTAGTTAATATGAACCGGTTAAAAGCAATACAAAAAAAGAGTTCTTGTGAGAACTAAAATATCAAGCAGAAAAGAAAAAAACAGTGAAGAAGAAATATTTAGCATTTTAAAAACTTCTCCCAAACCCGAACTAATTGCCGAATATAAAAAAAGGGATTAATATATAATTTTACACTAATTACATTTTGCCACCACGGAGTTTATTCTCTAAATGACAAGGTTCAC